TCATAAATAATGAGTGTCATTTCTTCCTCTCTAACCCTTATACCTTGTACCTCTCTCTTTCTTACCTTTCTACACCTGTTAGGCTCTTCAGCACAACACTAAGAGGTGAGAGCAGGCATCTTCCTCAAATTTCTGACCTTATGGGAACTGTGAGAAGACAGAAAAATGGCCTCTGAAGATGTCCATATCTAGGGATGAAAGTTAAAGCTGAAAGGGAGGAGGGGAGAGGAAGGGGAAATACTGGGGAATGATATTGCCCAAATTATATTGTTACATCATGTGCAGGTACAAATATGTAACAAGAAACCCCACTAYTGTGACTAATTACAATGCATCAATGAAAATATGGAAAAAGTTCACAGTTAAAATTAAGATTGTATGTCAGCAAATTTTTGAAAAGGAAAGGAGCTGATGGGTATAGCCCAGTGGTAGAGCATGTGCTTAGCATGCATAAGGCCCTGGGTTCAATTCTCAGCACAACTAAAAAAATGGTAGGGGTAACATTATCCTGTATTATCTTGGTGGGCCCAGTGTGAACACCGGGGTCCTTCAAAGTACGAGAGAATGGAAGGAGGGAGAGGCATAGTGCCTAGGAATGGRAGCCTAAAGGGAAAGCAACGGATTCTCTCGTACAGCCTCCAAGAAAGAGCCATGGGGACACCTTGATTTTAGTCCACTGAAACTTGTGTCAAGACTTTTGAAGTTGTAGAACTACCAGATAATAAGTTTGTATTGTTTTAAGCCACTAAGTAAGTATGTGACAATTTGTTATAGCAGCAATATAAAATATACAAAGTTTTAGATTTTTCAACCCTTAGTATGATGTTTTTGATGTTGGCTATTTGCTCTTGTGTTCCTTCTACTTGATTTCTTTCTTTCTTTCTTTCTTTTTTTGTTTTTTTGGTACCAGGGATTGAACTCAGGGGCACTCAACCACTGAGCCACATCCTTAGCCCTATTTTTAATATTTTATTTAGAGACAGGGTCTCACTGAGTTGCTTAGTGCCTCACCTTTGCTGAGGCTGGCTTTGAAACTGTGATCCTCCTGTCTCAGCCTCCCAAGCCACTGGGATTACAGACATGTGTCACCACACCCGGCCCTTCTACTTGATTTCTAAAACCGGTTTTTAACTCAATATTTCCTTAAAGCTGTCAGCTCTCATTTAATCTTCTTGTTGCTTGTCCATCTCATTTTCTGATTTTGATGTTATTTTGCTCTTAGCTTCTATCATTTCTTAAATTCCTTTAGCACATTTTATTAAAATATTAGATTGAACCAGGGATGATGTCATGTGCCTGTTCTCCCAGCTACTTGGGAGGCTGTGGTCGGAAAATAATTTGAGCTCACAAGTTTTAGACCAGCCTGGGCAGCAAAGTAAGACCTCAACTGGGGGTAAAAAAATGAACTGTTTTCTTCTGCTTCATTCTTATGGCTGGGATGTCTTCATTTTCTATGGTTATGTTAAACAGATAGTTATCCTACTTCTTTTCAGAGCATATTGTAAGATGTAGTCATGTTTAATTGAGATGGATTTTCCTATTATTTTTTTCAAGTGTCCTGTGCAGGAGGCTCAGGTAGCCCAGTGATAGAGCATTGCTTAGCATGCACAAGGCCCTGGGTTCAATTCTCAGCACAGCTAAAAAAAATGGTTCTAGGGCTTTGTCAGTAATTACAAAAGTTATGTGTTTCACCACCTCTTTAGTACTGTGTGAATTCTCTTCCATTTGGTACTCTCTCCTAGCAGTTAGTCTTCTAACATAATTCTTTTCCATTTGGCAGTATCTGAACCATCGCTCCTCTATTGCAGGGCCATTCCCTTGGTGTGTTCTGTTTCCAGCAGTGTCTTTCATAACTTTCTTTCTGCAGGCTCCTTTTTACAAGCTGCCAATGGAATGCTGGGAAGCCTTCATCCCCCTTTTGATTGTGATTTTTGTATCTACCAATTGAGGGAGATCCTCCTTTTGAAGCTGAGTAGATGGTAGCAAATTCTGGGTTCCCTGGCTCTTAGGTCATCACATGCTCTGCTTTTCTTCTCTCAGGTTGCTTTTCCACAGCTAGTGTTCCTATGTGATCTTGAGGCTCTTGATGGTTTTGATCCAAGCTGGAATTTGATCCAGAATTAGAGAGATCATCTGTCACCTATTTTTGGTGAGATGGTATCTCGCTGTATTTTTTGTTACCCTAACTGAGTTATGGAGATTTAGAAACCATTGCTACTACCACACTTCAGGTAAAATTGCTTTTTTGATATTTTACTTTAGAGAGATGTGTTTTTGATTTTAAAGTGACTTCTTTCTGCTCATGTCACAGCCCAATGAAGTCAGGAGGCTAYACTGGTAGTATTTCTCCAGCACTGACTCCTGTGCCCAGATAAAGTCTTTGCTTAAAATCAAATAAGAAGATGAGAGTGGTCAGTTATGGCAGTAGTTTCACTGCCAAGCCTGGAAGTCACACATATCACTTATCTCTACATCTCCTTGGCCGGAACTCACTCACATGGCCCCAAACTGCAGATGAGACTTGGAAAGGTAGAAAAGCACTAAGAAATCAAGTCTATAAAGTCACCCAAGCAACTCAGTGAGGCAGGCTGTCAACCTACAAAGTCACCTCTCTCCCCAGATCCATACAAGGTACCTGATCAAAGAGCATGTCATCACTGTTATTTAATAAGGTTTAAATTTCATTGCACAGTACTTAAATATAGAGAAAAATTGCAAGCTCGGTTATAGCTTAGTRGAAGATCATTTGCCTAGCAAGCACAATGCCCTGGGTTCAATCCCCAAAACAAAATGAAAGTTGTATAAATCAAGTTATTTTCAAATATGCAAAAAACCAGATCTCTACAGTCATCAACTGGTGACAAATAGAGGGGCTGACAAAGGCAGCATGAAATGTAAAAAGATTAAGAATGTTTCTGATTATGAAGATTCCAGTTAAATATATCCTTTACATTACAGAGTTAAACAATACCACTAATATCCCAAGTAAGAAAAGTGGTAGTTTGCTATCATTTATAAACATAAGCATGTTCGCAAACACTTTAGATATTAAACATACATACATACAGGAGAAATCTAGCCTCAAGACAATAAATTTTATTACCTTTAGTCTACCAGGTTTGACAATATAAATATACTCACTGAAGAAAACACAATATTTAAATAAGAATTAAGTTCATGAAAGTTTACAAAACATAGCCAATGCCAATGTACCCTAACTTGTAAACTTATCTTAAATATCTCAACTTTACTTTWGAATCATGGTCAGACATTTAAAAATATATTCACGTTATTTTAAGTTATAAAACAGTAGCAATTTACTAAGTTCTCCATTATAAAAATTAAGATAGTAATTCTCAAAATACTAAAAAAAATTGTTTATGAAAGTCAGACAGACCCACATCACAACAACTGATATCCTTCCTTTCAGATACATCTTCAAAAGGCACATTTTGATTACTAGTATTTTGATTTTACAGTAATTTTGATTTTACAGTAATTTTTCCATTTATTTCAAACTGAGTAAATGGAAGGTTGTAGAAGATAGGACACAGGTTTCCAATTAGCTCCTCAAAGGCAGCAATATGCTCACTCATCACATCCATGAATATCAACAGTGATTTGAGGAAGAGACTGCAGATCTGTCCTATATCCTAAAATAACCACTTGAATATGCTTTTTACACAAAATAACTCATTTTTAAAAAATCACGAAAAGCAAACCTAAAAAACAAAAGACCAAGACCACAAATTGCCCAGTTTAGTCCAAGTATTAATTACAAGCTTTGAGATTGAAGAAGAAATTAAACTTCTCTCCTCTGGAATCACATCTTTATATTAGGCTCATTTTAATTTAAATCACTTTGTGACCTAATAGTGTTATAAATTCCGAGAATGAGACATACTCATATTCAAAATAAAATATAAAAGTAAACTTCAAAATCAAATATAAATAATTTGTGGTTCCCTCTTATGTTTCCCTCTAATTTGGGCTAATAATCTAAAACCGGTTCTAATTATAACAGCATATATAATTTTAAGCACCACTATTATTTTTAAGAACTTATTATTGAGAAATCCATAACACAATCCAATACACACTTTAGGGACAGTTTACTTTTCAGTGACTTTAATACTAACTGAATACTAAAATGAACAAGACTCTGAAGTACTGATTGATTAATCACTTGATCTCATGTAAGAAACAAAAGGGAATTTTTAAAGTTATTATGAAATTTCAAAGTACTAGAGGTCTACCTTAAATTTATAGCATTCCCCTCAAGTCTCATTTGAATATATCCATTTAAAAAAATTTTTTTAGTTGTAGATAGACATAACACCTTTATTTTGCTTATTTACTTTTATGTGGTGCTGAGGATCAAACCCAGTGCCTCACACATGCTAGGCAAGCATTCTACCACTGAGCTACAACTCCAGACCCCTGTCCATTTGTTTTTTAAAGGGGGAATATTTTTCAATGTTTTTTTCTTACTAAAACAAAATAAATCATCAAAAATATGCCAACGTGCCAGGCATGGGAGCATGCTCCTGTAATCCCAGTGGCTTGGGAGGCTGAGGCAGGAGGATCACAAGTTCAAAGCCAGTTTAAGAAGGTCATAAGCAACTTAGAGACACACTGCCTCAAAACAGAAAATAAAAAAGGGTTGGAATATGACTTAGTGGCTAAGTACCCCCGGGTTCAATTCCTGATTACCACCCCTCACAAAAAAAATTTTAAGGTACAAAAAAGAAAATGGTCTCTGTCACTTCAACAACATATTTAATTTTTAGGTCCCCAAAAATGACCACTTTAGCGGCACTTATTCAAGTTCTAAAATAGCAGCTTTTAAAATTAAGGCAGCATTGCTTTATTCTTATCTATTTTTCTACAGACTACTCTTAAGTTCACAGGAATGGTTTCAGATTTACCCACCCTCAAAGGTCTTTTGTAATGCAACGTAAGAAGAGTTAACAAGAACATTCTTCTCAGTGCTTAAAAATATAGAAAAAGTTATTATATTCAAAGTCAACAAATATCTAATTTTTCTACTTTAAATTATACAGTAATTACAGTCATTCTAGTTGTGTAAACCATGAATTTACCTTTTACACTAACAAAAACATAAAATACATATTTTCTACAAAAATACAATGTAGAAGACTTATCACTTCTTCCCTGATATAGAAATTTAATATTTGGACAAAAAAATGTAAACTTTTGATTACATTCAAAATGTAACCATTTTAAGAACTTAAATAGTTTTGGCATCTGGAGCTCTTAACAGCAGATTTACATTGCTGCAATGTTTTAACAATGCAATAATGCCCAACAGTTGTTTCTCTTACACCTGCTACCAAGAGGAAAAAAACGGTTTCCTGCAATGGACAGTCTGGGTAAAGGAGCTGCCTGGGTGGATAATCCGACCCTGACTTCCCCCTTTACTTCGTTCCACAATCACACAAGGCATCTGGACCAGCTGAACAGGACTCTTCCCATCTCTCAGTGCCTGAGTAAGGTTTAAGATCTATGGAAAGAAGAGAGATTTTCATCAATTCAAAGAAGCCAAAAAGCCTCCACTGACATTATTATTTCAATCATTTAATCCACCATAATTTTTATTTCACCCATCATGCACAACAGAGATTGTGATAAGTAACTATTATAATTCTGTCTTTAATGCACAAAATTAGAGTAACCTACTAATTTGGTAACTTTAAAACACTTTGGAATGCATCTATGTCCAAGAGCAATGAAATCAGAGACTAGATAAACTGAAAGGTTCAATACATTTCATCTCACACAGAACTTAAACAAATAATAGTTTAAATATTTGCCTTACTCATTTATTTGACGAATAAATTTACTGCATACCTRCTATGCATTAGGCTCCATTCTGCGTGCTGGGGATATGATAGAAATACAGACAAAATTCCTGCCTTCTTTTTAGCAGGGGAAGGGGTCAATAAGCAGAAGTAAGTAAATTATTTCATGTACTAGAAGGTGGGCAAGCATGAAACAGGCCCAGAGTGGGTTAGAGAGTTGGGGGAGGTACCAATTTCAAATAAAATTTTATTTAAGAGTTTATTATAGGAAAAATCAAACTTGGAAGAAATATATTCCATGTTCAAAGATACCTAGAATTTTTACCTTTGAGCATACAAATAAGGTTATGAAACTCAATTCATAGCTTAGAGCCTAGTCTATTCTTTGTTCAGATAAAATAAAATTTTAATAATTCATTTTTCTTTTTTTCCTGCATATTAGGAAAAATTCTTTTATTATGTACTTTAAATATACAGATATCTCCTTTAGGTACTCGAAAATATCTAATATGCACTTCACTGGTTCTTTAATAAAGATTAGTTAATAATGATAAGCATGAAAATGTCAACATATAGCTATACTAACTAATAAGCCTCATAATATTTTGAATACTATAAATGAGATGGTTGAGCTCCCAAAGTATTTAATATATCACAGAAATAAATATTTACTAGCAACAGTAGTTATACATTATATTTGTTTTAGGATGCTTTTTAAGTTTCCCTCTTAAAATTTTCTACTTTGGTTACATTTGGACACAAGAAAAAAAAGAACTTATAAAATTTAGGTTTATAAGCATTGTTTATACCATGAAAATAAAATGGAGACCAGCATGTGTAAGGAATAAAATGTTCTAGTTAGTTTTTTCTTTTTAAAAATTCTATTCCACAAATAGTAAGTCTAAATATAGCATTTTAAGTAACATCTAAGATTTTCCTGATGCTAATTACAATGCACGATTGTTATAGAGAATCTGAAAAATAGAGAGGTACAAGAAAATGAAAGTCACTCCACAAGATTATATGGATTTTCAAAGTATTATAACAGCACAAGTTACTCAATCTTAAAACAATCCTGACTATTAATATTTCTCTGGGATCAAAAGAGACTCGATAATCTTGCATTTATCTACTAAATAAACATTTACAAAGAGCTCACTGCATAGGAGAAGAGACAAAACAGAAAGGAAAAACAAAATGAGCCTTGAAAGAACTTATACTCCCAAAACAAAGGGCCACAGGAGCAAATAACTGCAGTGCAGTGTGAGAAACACTTTAGCTGCAGGAAATTGTGCCCTGACTTTAAAATCCGATCCCTTCCCCCTGCCCAGTTTTTTTTTTTCCCCACTTCTCAAAGAATACACAAACCTTTTATTGTATGTTTAATTATAGAGGCTTGTTTTAAAAAATACAATGGACCAAACTGCAGGCAAGAGGAAACACTAAAGCTCTCCACCAATGTCACACCTGATAGCTTGATAGGGACATGTGCGATCTGGCAAAGACAGGTGGCACAAACTCACCTACTTCATACAGACTGCTTTCCTTTAGATTAGTTCACTGGCCCTCAATTTCAGTTGGCAGAAGAATCACTGTGCCATAAATACAAAACCACAGATATTCTAACTTAGGATCCGTTTTATGCTATTTTCCAATAGGCATATACTCAACAGGCTGATTTAAAAATCAACTTTCTGAGTCCAACAGACACCAGTATATTCCCGGGGAGTGCTGCAGAAACTGCCTCCCCTGAGTGGCAGGAGGAGCCTGAGAAGACCAAGCTGGAGCTTGAAGGGAAAACTCTTGCAGAAGAGGGAGAGGCATCCAAGGAGGGCAGAGCACAAGAGCTCCATTGAGAAGTGGGAAGAAAGAGCAGTTCAGAGAAGCTAAGAAGCTCGGGAAGTTGCAAAACAGCAAGAGTAAGGGGCGGTGTGATGGCTGAAGGCTGTGAAGAACCTTGTTGGCTGTGCTGGGGGGTTGGACTTGAGCTTGTGCACAAGAGCAAGTCCAGGGAGCTGCCTTGACAAAAGACAGGATCACAGGTATTTTTAAGACTGTGTTCTCTCTCCCTCTCCATGCAGTGCAGGGAATTGAACCCAGGTCCTCATGCATGTTAGGTAAGCCCTCTACCACTACTCCCAGCCTGGTCCTCATTCTACTGTGGAAGATAAGGATGTGACTTAGAAGATGTCAATAAATCCAKAAATGAGATGATAAAAGACCTCAGGTAGATGCAACGCCAAAATGCTGCAGATTTGACAAGCTAAGACAGATCCCCGATTTCATAGATACAGCATGTGACTTAGACCCCCTCAGTCATGTTTCTTAGGATCCATTTTATGATCCTAGAGCCTTWCAAAAAATGCAGGTGACAGTAGTTATTGTGAGGGTAAATGACAACAAACATAAAACACCCAGGAAAGGGTCAAGTGCTTAGGGGGTACTAAAATTTTAGCTTCATTTTCTTTAACATCAATAACTTAATTTGCTTTTAAGATTCTGGTTTGTCAATCAGTGAATACAAGCTAATTGTGTTTTCTTAAAACAGTTTTACTATTTCTGCCGTTTTTCAGATCATGGGGAAGATACACTTCATATTTCTCATAACCAAATTACTCTGAAATTCAGTGTTCCATGCACAGGTAGAACTTAATGAGTTTTGTTGAACCTAATCATTGCCTATTGTTAACTAATATAAAATTCAAAATGTCATTTAGCTCTTACGAATATTACCAGTTCTGAATTCTAAGAAATGCCTTCATACTAGTTCCAGGCCATATCCTCATGTGAAGAATTAGAGCATGTCACTGGTTATGTGTATAAAAACTAAACTACTGTAAACTAGGGCAAAAAGCTTGGTTGTACACATCACAAATCATTAAGATAGTGAATAAAACTGGAGGGGAGAGGAATTTAAGAGATATTTATAAATGATAAAACATGAGCATTTTGACTGAATTAAGGAACTGGCTGAAATAATGATTCTGTTGTTCAGAATATAAAATGTACTGGTGTTTTTTTGTTGTTTTATTTTTTGCATGTTGTTAAGTGTTTGCTTTATAAGTATTGATTTATTTTCAGATAAAGGACAATATTTTATTTTTAGGCCAACTTTCAACAAACAAAGCCCCACCTAAAACCAGAGAGCTACACAACCACACACATACATAATCAGGGTACATTATTTATTTATTTTAAGAAACATTTTTAGTTGTAGATGGACACAATGCCTTTATTTTGTTTAATTAGTTTTTTGTGTGGTGCTGGGGATTGAACCCAGAGCCTCACACATGCTAGGCAAGCGCTTTACCACTGAGCTACAACCCCAGCTCCACATTATTCTTTTTGGATATCAGAAAGCTCAAACTCAAATTAAAATTTAAAAACAAAATAAATTAAAACATATAACCTAGATATCATCATTTTCTCCCCCCCCCACCCCAGATCTTGGTCCTGTCATTTTTTATCTATTTTTATAAGCATTTTTATAATATGTTAGTTCCTATATGAATGAGATAGGATAGGAATAAACACACTGGAAACAGCAGCTACTTACTGGCACGCCTTTGTAGCTGACCTCAGAAATGAGTGTTTCCACGCCTCCTTGGGGAAGCATTTCTTAATTTAAATTTCTCATGTGCTAACTTTAATCCACAAGTAAAGCTAACAATATTATTTATAGCACTTACTTATTTGCTTATTTAAAATAACATTCCTAATATAAAGATACAGGAGTCCCCTCTTAATTAAGATTTCAGTTACCCAAAGTCAACCTTATTCTGAAAGTATTAAATGGAAATTTCCATAAATAAACAATGCATGTTTTAAATAACTTATTTTAGTATATTGCTATAATTGTTTTATTTTATTACTGTTATTGTTAGTCAGATTTTATCATAGGTATGTATGTATGCATAGGAAAAAACTGTACATATAGTGTTCAGTACTATTCAGTTTCAGGCATTCACTTGAGGTCTTGGAACACATCCCCAGAAAAAGGGAGACTAAAGGATACCTTCAGGGAGAAGAAAACCCCAGAGGATGAAGCATAGTGATATGGCAAGACAATTTGTTTCAAGCAAAAAGGTCAAAGAGGGACATAATTCTTCACACTTGAAAATGTTACTCAAACATATTTTGGAATGGTTAAAAACTTCTGCAATATAATTATAATTACTGGTCAACTAATCCCTTTATCCATGCTCAAATGCCAAAAGACTCTCCTAGCTAGGCTCCCTGGCTCTAGTCTCCTCATCTGCTAAGCAAATCTGCACTCACTGTCCAGCCTCGCCTTCGGCAGCGGTTCAAACCTCTTCTGGGTTAGGAATCCCTTCGCTGAGATATAAGTCCTACCCACCCCCATCCCTGGCAAAATGCACATACAAAATTTCACACATAATTTCAGGGAGTACAGAGAAAAAACCAAGGATAAGGGTTTTTTCACACTCTTCTTTTTCTTTTTTTCCTATATTTATTTTTTGTAGTTGTACACAATAACTTTATTTTATTTATGTATTTATTTATTTATTTTTATGTGGTGCTGGGGATCGAACCCAGTGCTTAACACATGCCAGGCAAGTGCACTGCCCCTAAGCCAAAATCCCAGTCCCACCCCCAAGCCCCTTTTCACACTCTTCTTTAATGCTAAATTTCTAATTACTCTAATCCCTGCCATGTGAAATCAATACTCTGATTCTCAAGGCCTTCTATATAAACGGGCTATATTCTACCAGTTCTGCCATAAGTATTTGATGAATTAATAAAAATTCTAGAACACAATCAATGCAAAAGCCAAATTCATCTTCCTTGCCACAAGTACTATAGCAAACAGTTATCTTAAATTCAATGTATGTTTTAGGAAGAGAATGCTAATTTGGAGTTTACTAAAAGTCAATCTTTACAGTATGATATATTTTCACTGCAAGGTTTCCTTTTGGAATAGTCAAGGAAGCAGATGCCATGTGAGGTGGCCTAGCCTGTAGGTCCACACCAACAGACCTAACACTGTGTGTCTCTATTAGAGGAGTCGAGGAGGAGGAAGCGTAAGAGGATTGATTTAAAATTATGTAGTGCCCTGACTCTTAATCAGTACTCAACTCTGATGACAGGGTTATTTACTGATGGCTCTAGCAAAGCCAAACTTGTTCCACAAGGAAAATAATCTAATGGACTAGAACTTGGTATTGAAGATCCACACAAGGGGACTGAGGGAATAAAGGGTACTAAAGGAAAAGAGCCAATGGGATGATGACTCAGGGGCAGGTACTGACAACTGGTTAAATACACCACATTCAACTAGGTCCAATGTGCCTAATATATAAGACGACAGAGGAAAGACACTACTTAAATCAATTTCATTTCTAATCACAGGTTACAGTGATAATGTCTCAGGAAGTTTTAACTTAATCATCAAAAAGAGACCTACCTGACCCCTCATCACAGACATCTGACTTTCAAAAGTAGCTTTGTCAAAACTTTTGTCAGTCTATTACAGAAAGGAAAAAAAAATTATTATTATTCCAAAACTCAAAACCTTTGAAACAAATATAGAATTGAAAAAAAACTGTTCCATATAGCAAACAAGGTCATTAGAAATTTTTCTCAATTGATAAAATAACAAGAATATTCTCACTTAACGTACTTTTTCCATACTCCTAGAATGACAAGGAAAATTTAATTTGTTTATATCCAACTTGTTTCAGAAAGGATTTAGATGGTTTTCTAGACAATGAGTTCAGGCTTTTCAAGAATTAGATCACAGCAATCACCAAACTCATATAATTCATACAGTAATTTTGTAAAAATTCAACTTTTAAGGAAAGCAACATCACAATTTTGATGTAATCTCACTTGAAAAGATACTCATAGTAAGTGTAACTTTACAAAATTTATGCTTCAGGAAAATAAAGTTGCTAAATCCTGTTATATTAGGTTCTACTGCAAGCCAAAATACAAGTAGTAGTAAACTAAATTAGCTCTACTTGGAAACATCTTTTTTGTTAGGTGTGATGGTAAATGTCTATGATCTCAGCGACTAGGGAAGCTGAGGCACGGGGACTGCAAGTGTAGGGCCAGCCTTGACAATTTAGCAAGACTCTGCCTCAAAATAAAAAGTAAAAACAAAAGCTGGGAATGTAGCTCAGTTGTACAGCACCCCAACGTTCAATCCCCAGCACTGGAAAGAAAGGAAAAGAAAAGCTCTTTTTAAGGTTTCTTTCTTTCTTTTTTTGTAATAATCAAAACTAAACATTTTTTAAAAACACTATGCCGACTGTTTGCTTTATTTATTTTTTCCTTTTTAAAAATTGTACAAGCACCTGGGTTATAGATGAGAGCCAAGTATCAGAGGTAAATACAAATAAACATTGGTATAAGATAGACATGTGTTTGCATTTTAAATCTGGGCAATGAATTTGACCTTTCTCAGCACTAGCTTCATCAAGGGTGCTATAAGGTTGTAGTAAGTTTTAAGTGAGACATAAATAAAAAAGCATGATGCTGCCAGGCTCTGTTTCACATGCCTGGGACCTCAGCTACTAGAGTGGTTGAAGTAGGAGGATCCCAAGTTCAAGGCCAGCCTGGGCAACTTAGTAAGACCCTCTCTCAAAATAAAAAACAAAGGGTTGGACATAATAGCTCAGTAGTAGTGTGTGTGTGTTAGACCCTTGGCTCAAACCCCAGTTTAAAAAAATAATAATAATGTGCAAACATCATCTCCACACACAAATTAAACTTTTATTTACCTTAAAAAGTTCATAAAGATCTTCACATAAATCTTGCACAAAGTTCATGTCAGAAATATATGGCAGAACCAAGTTTCTTGTTTCTTCAGAAAAAGGAACTTTTGCTTGAGGAAGCCACGCCCAGTGAAATGGATCTAATAGAAAATAAGCAGTGRCAGAAAATGGTTTATTTAGACTCACATTTATCCTGTTTCTTTCCTACAACTCTTAGGTCTCCCAAAGAAAGGACAGGAGAGAGAAGTTAGGAGAGTAAACTATTTTTTGTAATTCAAATTAATCAGATTCCAAGTTCAGATAGCCAGTTCAGATGGTAAAGCACAGTAAGGTCTAACCTGAACTAGTTATATTTCTGAGTTTGAGATGGTAAAGAATCAGAATTTGTTGAGTCTATTTCAAATAGTTCTATCCAAAAATGTATTTGAATCTATCTGGTTCCTGAGTTCAGAGATTGGTGGGTACCTACTAATTATCCACAGCCCCAGACTAAATACCATAGTTGTATAAATCAACTGGAACTGTGGCATTTGTATATAGAAGACATTCTAAATTTTTATAATATCAGAAAGTAAATAGGTAGCTTTAAGGGATGAAAGATCTATAACTTGGTTGATGATGTAGCTCAGTGGTAGAGCGCTTGCCTATCAGGTGAACTCTTGGGTTAGATCTCCAGCACCACAAAAAATAATAAGAAAAAGAAAAAAGAAAAGAATCCATATTTCTGGGTAACTAGTGGCCCCTACAAGGAGACCATTAAATTCACACAGTACCAGGACTTGAAAGATTTGCATAATGGTGGAATCTTCTAAAAAGGGTACGAATGCATATTCCAAACCCCCCAGTTAGGTTCCCACCACTCAGAGAGCTTGAGGAAGAAATCTTCCCTTGGAGCCACTGATACTCATCTCTCTTCTATAGATCTCTCTGCACACTGCGGGAGGTACTAATTGCATGCTAAAGCCTTTCCTCTGGCCCCCAWCTCCTGGAAGGTACCTCCAGTTCCCTTCTTGTCTTTCCCTGAAGAGTTTCTTAAAGGGAAAGCCCTTATTCTTTGCCTGCCTTCACTTCTTATCCCTCAACTTCATCCAAAATCCCTCCCTGGGCCCCCGAGTCATCCCACAAGGGCTCTCCACTGACCCACCTGCAGTCCTCATGCTACTTAGTCTCTGCAGCAAGGAGCACCGTTCTTATCACCTTTATGAAATTCCCCCTCTATGGTTCTGGAGATACCACTCTCTCACAATTTACTTTCTGTCTTATAAGTCGCTCCCTCTCTCTTGTGCTGGCATTTCCTCCATTCTTTCAACATCGGCGTTCCTCCAGACTCTAAACTCAGTTCCTTCCCTCCCTTCTTTACTTATTAAGTATTCATGAAACATTTATCAGGCTCTTATGTTCCTAGCACTGGATTAGGCAATGATGTTTGTTCTCCTTGATTTCCCTGGGTGATAGCAAATACCACCATAACTACCACCATGGCTTCCAGGTGACAACAGTTTAAAAACTATATTCTCAATAGTAATTCCTCTTTAAGTTCCAGACCTTTAATACCCAACTACATGTTTGATAAAATTTACCAACTATCTTACAGAAAACCTAATACTTTAAAATGTTATTTGAACACAGTTTCCCAAAGATTAGGAAAAATAAAATGGAAACAAGACAATTCAATCAACAAAAGATAGGAAAAGCAAAAGGGAACAAATGAGAATTCACAGTCAGGAGAAAAAAAGATAAGATGGCAGAAAAAAGTTCAAACAGTTTATTAAGATTTAAACTATAGAGTTAAGTGCACCTATTACAAGACTCAGACTGGGTTAAGAAAAATGTACCCAACGTTGTTTATTAGCCATACACTYAAAACAAAATGATGAAGGTTAAAAATAAAATTGTCTAATACCAGGTAAATGCCAACAAAAAGAAAGGAGGGATAGCAATGTTGTAACAGGCAAAATAAAAAGCAAAAGATGGAGAGGGATAAAGGGCAATATAATTCACACAGATTAAAAACAAAACAAAACAAAACAGAAAAACCACCAAGAACATAAAACACTGGACATTTTTGTGAGTGAAATACAAAGTAAAAAATGCAAGAAGAAATCGACAAAATCACAATCAAGGTGATCTTAATTGCCTCTCCAAAATTAAGTGGTTTAATTAAGTGGTCAAGAAATAAGTCAAGGATTTGATAGGACTAACAACCAACAAACTTTAATTAGTAGACATAGACAGAACTTTGTGCCAAAACATTTTTTCAAATATAGTCCTCCAAATCAGCCACATATAAAATCATAAAGTACATTCTAATGAATTGCAAAAAACAATTCACTTGTGTGCATGTACAATTATAGAAGAACAAATTCTATCATTATWTATAACTACAATGCACCAATAAGAAATGTGGAAAGAGAAAAAAAATTCACATGCCATTTTCATGGATCACAATGAAGTAACATTGGACAACTGCAACAACACACACTTTAAAAAAATGTCAATAATCAAAACAACCAATATTGAAATCAAATAAAATACTTCTAAGTTACTTTTATCAAAGAAATCAGAGAATACAAATAAGCAAAGCAGAACAATATGGCAGAACTCATCCAATCAGTAGTTTAGCTGAAATGATACCCAGATGAAAATATATGGCCCAATAATAGCATTTATAGTGYCATAATTTGGATTTTGACTGTCATCCAAGGGGCCATGTGTAAAATGCTCAGTTGTCAGCCTGCGGTGCTACTGGGAGGTGGTRGAASTTTGTGAGAGGAAGTTAGGTCACTCGGGGTGTGCCCTTTAAAGCAATATTGGGACCTGGCTTCCTCCTGTCACTCTCATTTGCTTTCTAGCAGCCACGAGGTAAGCAGTCTCTGGTACATGCTCTCACCACGATGTTCTATGCTACCACAGGCCCAAATCAACAGAGCTAAAAGACCATGGATGGAAACCTCTGGAACCAYGAGCCAAAATAAACCTTTTCCTTCATTAAGTTTATTTTCTCAGTTACTTTGTCACAGTGATGGAGAGCAAAAGAGGATGAACATAATAAAAGATAGAACACATAGTTAATGAAAAAAAAAATCAAGYAAGCAAACTGAAAATCTGATCAATAAAATAACCTAAAGAAAAGCAAGATAAGTAAGTAAACAAATAGTCTAATGCTTAACAAGCAACAAATCTTTGACAAGCTTAAACATTAAATAAAAGTAATTCATAGTAGGAATTTAAAAGAGGTATAATCATAGAGATYATTTTAAAATTTTAATTACTACATATATTTTAAACTACGCAAAAATCAAAAAACAATGTAGTAAACTCCTACATTCCAAATAACCTAATTTAGTTATTAATAAACTTTTGTGAAATTACTTCACCTATTCTATCTTGTCTCTACCTCCACCAATATTTAAATGCAAATTCTATATATCACTTCATTTCATCTTCTAAGAAGTTAAAATGCAAAGAAGGGATTAAAAAATTGGTGGGGTGGGGACAAGGGACTGAACGCAGGGTCACTTAACCGMTGAACATCATCCCTAGCCTTTTTTATTTTTTATTTTGAGACAAGGTCTCATTAATTTGCTTACGACCTCTCTAAATTGCTGAGGCTGGCTTTTAACTCGTGATCTTCCTGTCTCAGCTTCCCAAATGGATGAGATTACAGGTGTAATTAAATGCCTGACATTTAATTTTTTTTAAGTTATAAGAGAATTCTACRTAAAATGTTATACTCACAAATCTGAAACTCCAGATATCATAGATAATTTTGAGCAAACTTAAAAATGTCTGTAACTGGCTCAAGATATAGAAAACTTGGTATTTAACCATAGAAGAGACTTGGAAAAAAATTAAATCACTATTGAATGGAAGGGGGACAGGCCTAAATCATTTTATAAGTGAATTCAACTCACAATATTAACCAAACAATAGACAGCAAGACCCATGCAGTACACATCTTTGTATTCCCAGTGCCTAGAACTGAATCCTAATAAATGATTATACTTATACTTCATCCAGTTCTGTTATTTTGATGTCTACACATCTTGTTCCCTCTCTGCTTTGGAAAAGAGACTATGATAGAATCTACAGATAGTTCTAAATACTCACATGTTCTCCATTCATCAGGATGTTTAAAAGGAAATGCTAGACCATTATCAATTGCAGCTACTTTAATAAGCAATTCTTTATCATTGATCCAGTTTAAGACCTAAAGAAGAAAGAATGATCTGTTGGTAAAAGCACCTATATAAATATTTCCAAAGGATAAATTATTTATAATACTTACTGGGGTTTAAGGACATATTCTTTCTCAAGAGTCCATAAAAGGGCTGGGGTTGTAGCTCAGTGGTAGAGCGTTCGCCTACTATGTGTGAGGCACTAGGTTCGATCCTCAGCACCACATAAAAACAAATAAAATAAAAGTATAAAAAATATTTTTAAAAAGAGTCCATAAAAATTAAAATTGTTGCAAAAAAAATGAAATATAAAAAAAGAAAATCAAAATCAAAACCAAAACAAATTCACCCAGGAAGGGAAGAGACTATTTTAAAAAACCAGTAAGAATTTCACAAATGCTAATTTTAAAATTTGACACAACATGTTTACTTGGTAATGGTTTCACTTTTGTCCCCTGTTTTTGGAGAGTTTGAGAATATTAAGACTTTAAAAGTGATATTCTAAGCTGGATACAGTGGTGCATGCCTGTAATACCAGCAGCTTGGGAGGCTGAGGCAGGAGGATTGCAAGTTCAAAGCCCTCAGCAATTTAGCAAGTCCCTGTCTCAAAAAAAAGAAGCTGGGGAATGGCTCCATGGCAAAGTGCCTCTGGTTCCATCCCCTGTACCCCACCCCCACCAAAAAAAGTGATATTCTAGATGCATTGCTTAGATGTTTGATATTTGCAAAATATTATTGATTTCTTTAAGATAACAACTTGACAAAATTACCTTATTAAAATTTAGTCTTTCTTATAGTCCCATGGAAACAATTAGGTTACATATAAAGTATTTCTAAAGAAAATTCCTCTAAAAGACTATAACTAAATATAATAAGGTCGAGCAGAAGGAACCTCAAGATATTCTTGACTACAGAATGTAGGCCATTCCTGACTTCTACATTCTTCTGTAGCAGAAACCAAGACCTCAGGAGGAAGACAAAGAGTAGTTCCCATTATATAAAGACAGGTGGTTGGCATTAGTAAGTGTCCTAGATAAAAGAGCAAGAAGTGAAAAGGGCTATTTTTAAATTAAAAATTCTACTGTGAAGATGTGCCAGGTTTCTTTGTTTCTCTTAATTTATACCAAATCTCACCTCAATGAACATACACAAAATACTCAGGGCAAAAGAAGAAAGTTTTCGACAAATTTAATTATCCAAGATATACCAATAAAACAAATTCAGGAGGTATTACACACATATATATTTTGGTATATATTTTAAATCCCTTTCTGCTATAACTGCCATTTATTTTCTATTTCTATCATTCTTTTTCCTATTTACAACTTTGTTGAGGTACAATTTATACAAATAAACCTTACATGTCAAAGGGTCCTATTTGATAAACCTGAACAGATGTGAAAGCTTTACCCAAAAGTTTCCTGAGTTCCACTGCAGTTCATGCCTCCCTCTGCCCCGTCCCCGGTACCCACTGGTCTGCCTTCTGTCAGTAGGGACTGATCTGCATTTTCTAGACTTTTATGTAAATGGAATCATACAGTATGTGACCTTTTATAGCTTCTTTCACTCAGCGTAGTTTTAAAAAGGTTGATTCCCTTACTATGTGTATCAAGTTTGGTTTTTTTTTATTACTAAGTATTGCATATGTATTTTAAAATTTCCTGGATAAACAATTAAAAGTACAAATGCTTCAAAGTGATGCAAATATTTTAAGTGACAATTTAAGAACACAGAAATTATAAGTACTGGAGAAATTATTTTTCTTAATCACTTAAAATTTTCTCAAAAGTGGGGCCAGGTTGTTGTAAACTTTAAAAAGTCTAAAAATGTCTTATGTAACTAATATGTGAACTTAGGTTACTCAGAGTTGATAGAATGAATCTAAAATTTTTATAGTGTTAAGAATCTAAGTTTATTCTGTGTTAAAACCAGCTTCTAAGTGAAAGTTTTCTTTAAGTTCAGTGGGTATAATTCATAAGTAAAGCATACATGTTCCACTGCATTAGGTAATATTAGATTACCTAATACTGAATCAAAAACTCGGAAGGAGCCAGTGCAATGGTATACACATGCCTATAATCCCAGCACATTGGCAGGCTGAGGCAGGAAGATCACAAGGTTCAAGGTCAGTCTCAGAACTAGTGAGACCCTGTCTCAAAAATAAAAAATAAAAAGAGCAGGGACTGTGGCTCAGTGATATAGCACCCTGAGTTCAATTCCTAGTACCAAAAAACTCAGCAGGAACTGAACTAATAAAATACAAATACCAGAAACCTTAATTACATAAAAGCAAAGTAAAAATGGTCATTCTGCAAATTTCCCAAGCTCTAAAAAAAATGATACATCTGGTATCATTCTTCTATTTTAATACAAAACAAAAAATAAAGCTGCCTAGAGATAATAAAAATTAGAATCTGGAAATTCAGTGTAAACAAGTGACAGAAAAAAGATGAGAAGAACAGAATTAAAATCAAAGATTTAACAAGGGAAGGATGAGATAATGGAGAATAACTTAATTTCAAGAAATCTTTTACACAAATTGACTGTTGTGTATGTGTGTGTGTGTGTGTGTGTATGTGTGTGTGTAGATATAGATATATTTACTTATTCATTTTAAAATTTGCTTACCTCATGGTCAGTTTCTTTTTTACATTTCTCCTTTTCATATCTGACTAACCAATTATCATTTCCTCTGTCTTTTAAAAGAAACAAAAAAATTTGTTAATTGATTTTTATGGGCATTATAGATGAATATCAATGGGAGAAATCTAGTCACCTGCTGATTTTTGAGATTTTCATTGATTTTCTATAGCATACGTCTACCATATCAAAGTTCCGATTTAAAACTAAAAAAAACCCAACCAAACAAACAAAAAACCCCCATAAATATTAGCGACCATTTATTGAATGTTTTCTCTGTGCCAGATACTGTTCTAGGGGCTTCACATGTGCTAATTCAATCCTTATAACCTACCCTGTGAGGGAGATATGATTATTAGATTAAGGTTATTAAAATCAAGGATAACTTCCTCTTCACCTGAGAAAGAAAAGCATCTACCCTTCCTGCTAGACAAATTTCCAAATAGGCTACCAGGGTACTGGGGGTACCCTGGACTACACACTAATTTTAGTTATTAATTTAAGATCATATTAATTAAGAAGCTCAATGTAGAAAATTACATGATGCTTTTTCAGAAGCTAATATGAATGAGAAAACATTTCAAACCAGTAGTTCTCAAACTTTAGAGTGCATCAGAGTTACCTGGAAAACACATGAAAACACAGTCCTTGCCCCACTGCAGAGTTTCTGCTCAGTAAGTCTAGGATATTGTACAAGAATGACCCTGAGAATCCAGGGAACTACAATTGGGACCTACTGCTTTGGACTGTCTACATCCAAATTTGGAATTAGATTATTTCCTTACAAAGCAGAACAAATGAAAAGTTTAATGTATTTGTAACTATACTAACAATTACACAATGTCAAAATGAGCATCTAAACTAAATTATACAATCAAGTTTTAATTTTTCATATTATGAAGATAACATTTCTAATATCTGGCCTTGTCCTGCTCCTAGGAAATTTCTCTTTAGGGGCCAAGAATTGATCTTTGTCACCTAGACAGGAGCCTGGTATGAGTCAAATCCCCCAGTATAGGATTAATTATGCCCAGGAGAGTTTGTACTATGTCTGTTTTGAAAACAGGTAGAAGAAGTAGCTTTAAGATTTTTGCATCAAAATTTTATAGCTCTGATTTAGGTAACAATAGTATATAATTTGAAAGCTAACGAGATCAGAGTGAACAAATGAGAGAACTTCAATACCTGTGTTTCTGATGATGTAATCCAAAACAACTAATCTTTCAAATTGTGACTGAAATTGTTTTCTAATATTCTCAGGCAAAGGATCAGCTTCAAATTTCCTAAGCCAATATTCAGCCTCCTTGTAACCTTCAACAAATAACTGAAAGGAACCAATCTACAATTTTAAGAACTATAGTTAGAAACAAAAGTACAAGAACAAAGGGTTTAATTTTTAATTTCTCAGCAGTACTGTCACAAAATGTTATACAAACATAATAAGAAAAATAGAAGAGATAACGCTAATTTAGATAAGCATATTTATCAAGAAACCTATTTTTACACACTAATTTTAAATAATCACATGAAGAACGCACAGCAAATAAAAAATATTCAACCCTAGACTATTAAGGAGCATTGCTAGACTAGACTTTTAAGCAGCTATTTCGGGATAATCAAAAAGGAAAATAAATACATGCCCTCAAGGTGACACTCTTAACAAGAATGCTGCTTTCTAAAAATATTCATTAAAGTGAATTTAATTATGGAGGCCAAATTGAACATCAATCCTGATTATTTCATAATAGTGCAATTTTAACTCATGAAAGAAACGTTTCAAGATTCTTCTTAAAACATAAAATACAGAAAATAATTTTATTTTAAAAATAATAGTGGATTCTTTGACTATTCAGATTAAAGATCCTGTCATAAATTTTAAAAGAACTAATCAATTAATCATAACCTCTATAGTGTTTTTTTACAAAGTTCTTTCCTTGAAAATATATCCATCTTAAAAGACATTTTTGTTACTAAAATTTACTAGTTAACATTAAACCATGTATTAAAGATGGAAATACAAGTTTTCAACAGCAGATGATGCCTGGGTACTGAGCAACCTTCAAAAATGCAAACAAATCACCACACACAAAAATCTATTCCTTATCCTGACATTTTATAGTCTTGTTGTTGGCATGATTTTTTTTAAACAATTCCAATGTTTTCTTTAAGGCACTTACAACTAAGTAGTAGTAGTCATTAATATGGAAACCATAGTCTCCAATAGTCATGCTTATTTTAGCACATCCAAGAAGGAAAAGGACTTACAAAAAGTCTTAGAACTCCAAGTTTACTTGGAGTACAATTTTTAAAATTAGTCAATCATGAATTTCCACTCAAAGTCTTTTATCTAGATACATGTAGAGCAAAACCAAAACAAAATTATAGGTCAAGTCTATTTTTAAAAAATAAATCCTAGAGTTTTTCTAGGATGCCTTTTCCATTAGCCCTCTCCACCTTTGCTTAGTTAGCTGCTAATCATCTCTCAGTTTATTTTAAAGTGATTAGAAAAAAACAAAATCTAATGTGCAATGAGAAAACACAGCTGCTACCATTTACTGAACCATAACTATGTACCAAGTACTTGACTTGAATTTCTCAAGTTTATCCTAAGAGGTAGTTCRTGTCATTCCCTACCTCATAGAAACTAGGGCTGACAAAATACAGACCCTGCCCAAGGTCTCAATCTAACTAGTATAGAGATAGGATGGAACCCAGCTCTGACTCTAGATCTGAACTTTTGGCCATTACTTTATAAAGCCTTTGATACAACATCATCTGGGAAACATTTCCTGCTCCTCCAGACTCAGTTAGGCATCCCTCTTCTGCATCTTGTCTTTGTGTGTGTGGTGTTGGGGATCAAACCCAGGGCCTTGGCCTGTTAAGCAAAAGCTCCACCACTGGGCTATAATCCCAGTTYTAGGCATCCCTCTTTGAACCTCTCAAAGCTCCCGAACTTACTACCTATCAAGCACTTTATCAAACTGCATTGAAATGGCTTGGTTACTATGAGCTCCTCAAAGAGGAAAAAGCTTTTACTACTATAACCACAGTCCAGAGTGCGATGTTTAGCTCTAAAAGATCAGGCTGAACCTCCCAACTACATCCTAAGTACAGCTTATCATAGTAACTCACCTTAGGAGGTAGTCCTATCCGATGAAACTTTCTACCTACTTTTGGCACTTTCTGTAAAGCATACTTTTTGCCTCTTGATTTTGCTCGGTCAATTGCACTGTAATTAAATGTCTCACTGACAAGCCAAACCACCTAGAAACACAGAGTTCAGAAAAATGGTCAGAATTTGCATTATGATATTTCTATCCACGTACGCAATCAAATTCACTCTAATCCTGTAAACGAGCAAAGTTTAAGGCTATAGCTGAAAATCTAAGATAGAAAGGCCAGGAGATTTTGTGAAACCATGGAACATATGTCTTTTCTCAAAGAGGTATAAAAGTGACCTAAAATTTTCTAGTGAAAAAAAACTAAGCAAGAGTTTTAAATTGTAGAATTAGATATGAACATTTTGAGGATGGCAACAATTAAAACATACAAAGGCCAACAAGAAACCAATAGCAGCCTTATAAATAGCTATCTTGACCTTCCACGAATCTCGATCCCTCATTTTTGTCTACTTTCTAAATGCAAGTCCTTCCTCCTCTCTGTGTTAGCTCCCGTGACCTCCCAGGAACAAGAGCCATTCCCTTGCATGCTTGTGGGTCTATGTGAGGACAAGTTGGCAGCTGCTCATACTCTTGAATTACCAAGAAGGGATTCCACTTTAGGCTCTACCATTAAGTTATTACTAAAGTACTCACAGACAAGTGGGCTAAGTATTTGACTGGAAACCCACTCTGCTTTACCTTTGTTTTAGGTACAATGCCCAGATGAAGCTTTTCATCCCAAGGTAGGTCAAGGGAGCCCTTGGTTAAGAAGCAGGCAGCCTCTGCCAAAGCAGCAAGGGCAGCAGACCTTGTGGACRTACTTGGTCCATTTTGGATTCAATTGACCATAAGGCTCTTCTGATTTTGGTTTAAAAACACCAATAATTTTCTAAAGGGGTAAAAAGGAAAAATCTTATTAGGCTTTTACATGTGTGGAAGCGGACATATATATCAAACACATTGATATCCATTATTTTACATATAGATTGAGAGAGAGAGAGATAATAATCCACAAAACACATTCTCATAATTTGTTTCCTCCTATTCCCTGACTCAGATTTAGGCATAACCTTCAAGTGTTAAGAAGTTTGTTTTCAATCACATTTTACTCATTTCCATTGAGGATCTAAACTCAATAATTCCTTGGACCAGTACTTTTCAAATAGTGCTCTGWCAAASCTTAGAAGGTGAGGGCAAGGGTTCATGCCATTTAACCTGTGACCCATGCCATTTAACCAGATTAACTCATTTGTTTTATATTAATGGACTTCCAGGTTAAAAAAAGGTGTCTCACCAATTTTAAATGTTTGAAAACCACCACTTTAGGTCAAACAGTGTTACTATTCAGAATCTATTAAACACCCAAGCCACAAGTTTGTTTAACATCTACTTTCCCCACTACGGCGTACATTCTAAAAAGGCTGGAGCTTTGTTAGTGCTGCACCTCTAGTACTCAAAGCCATATCTGAAACACATTAAGTTTCCAAGCATTTGCTAAATAAACTAATAAAGTCTATGCCAAAAAATATTTCTCTAAACAAAGGGAATAAGATACATTGAATAACTATGCTGTCAGCTGCTCTTAGCCTAAGACTTTCCCAGTTATGTTTTTCATGAACCAATCTTTTAAATAAACTCCTTTATTTAAAAGATTGGTTCATGAATGTCTAAAATCTCTATAACCTTTTGTACTGATCTGATACAATATATATATATAAAATACATATATATTTTTTATCTTAACTTTTAAGGGAAAGGACTTTGCTATGTTGCAAAGACTGGTGGCCCCAAACTCCTGGGCTCAAGTGATCCTCCTGCCTCGGACTTCTGAGTAGCTGGGACTACAGGCATATGCCCTTGTGCCTTGTGCCCAGGTACCTACAACTCTCTTAAAATCTCAAAGGAGGTCTATGCTTTAAAATTACTTTGAAAATATAACTTTAGTCTTTGAAAAAAAGGGGGTAAAATTGTGAACTTTCTTATCTCTCAAAAGAGGATTTGCTGGTTGTGCATCAGAAGGCTTTTAGAAAAAATGAGATCAATTTTTGAAAAATTCTAGACTAAGTGGAAGAAATTACCATAGAAATTTCTCTTTTCTGCTCCAGAATCATTTATTCATTTCACTTTTGTGCATTTCAATGACTTCACACTTCAGGTTACCCAGCCTCCTTCCCTTGGCACAATGCCAAAAAAAATATATCTAGAGAAAAATATAGCCTTGAAAAAAAAAAAAAACCAAGCATTGGAAATGACATTAGACAAGTTGTGAAAGTTTCAATTTCTACTCTGCTTGGCAAGTATGGTAATAGACTATTTTAAGGTGAGGACTTATTGACATATGCTCAACGAATCTCCAAGTGAACAGGGTATTCAGTAATTGCTTGAAACCAAATAGAAGCTGTCAGAATAGCAATCTATAACTTAACAACAATTAGCTCTATTTCTATAGAGGAGGGTGCTTTAGTAAAAAATAATAACCAAAAAAATTGTGCTTTATTTCACAAAAGAGGGTGCAATCGAAATTAATATCTTCAGAAATTCGCAATGACTTCAGATTTAAGTTAGTGATTTCCAAAATTTTCTTAGTATATAGTAGGTCTGTGAAATTCTCACCTTCTTAGGATCCTTTACAAAGTAACTTCCACTTGAGCCTTGAGAAATTCTTTGTGGAAAAACTCCCAATTCTATTGCTTGTTCTGCTCTCAATATAATATCGGCAAATTCTGGATCATCCAAGAATGCATTCATCTCTGAAAGGCCCGTGGTCACTGCATTAAGAAGAAAGATTAGCCTCGAGAATGCTCATGATATGGACCTAAATGTGTGAATTTGGTTATTGGTGTTAGGACAGAGGTACAGAAAAATATAATTAAGTACTACATGGACAGCTTTGATCCTCCTTCCTGACCACTTCTAACTAAACAATGCCATATGGAAAAAACTTTACTATTTGTTGAAAAAAATCACACAAATACCCTCTCACTTCTTTGAACTCCTCTGCAATGATTCTGTCCTTCATCCTTCTCTAGCTCTAATTCCACAGTCTTGTCTCAAATCCTATCATCAGTAACTACAACTTCTCCACAATTTTTCAAGCACCTCTTAGCTTCCCAGTTTAGTCCCTCCAGCATAAAATTCACTCATCCTACAGGAACCTACAAGCACTGCTCTCCTTGCTATCCTTGGTCTTTACTCCCTTCATGTGCCCCACTCCTTGACCACCTTAAATATGGCCTATCATTACAGAATCACTCTTCTCCCTCCCTTCATCATGGTCACCAGGAAAAATCCCAGTCCTGGTGAAACCTGTCTGTTGACTCTATGCCTCTGCCAGGATAGCTGAACTTGACCAGAGAAACGCATATCAACTCAAATTCTCAACACCTCCTCTCCTCCCACCCTCTCTCAGCAGATTATCTATCTAGCTGCCTACTTCATGACGTGAAAAAAAAAAATATATGTCTCATGTATATATATATATATGTGTGTGTGTGTGTGTGTATACACACACGCATACACACAGCACCACACCTACTGATCCACTGCTTAACTATGGGTCAACACTGATGATTTCCAAATTTCTCTCTCAGGCCTGGGCTTGCAACTATTATTCAACATCTCTACTTGGATGTTAACAGATGGCTCAAAGTTTATTACCCAAAACTCAATTCTTCATCTTTAACACCCCCCATCCCAAGACTTCATCTCCATTCCTCCCTGTTGTAGCTGCTGGCAATTCAAAATCTTCCAGTTGTATAAACCAGAATAAGCTRCAGAACCTTAGAATCAATCCTGATCTTCCACTCTCACCTTCTATCTCCAACAAGAAAGTTGTGTAGGCTCTACTGCCTAGTGTCTGGAGCCCAGCCTCTTACCATCTTCCATTTCTTCCATGTTACTTAGGTAATTATCAGTTCTTGCCCAACTTATTATAAGAGCCCCCTAACTGGTCTTCCTCTTTCACTCCTGTCTTTCTATACTCAACCAAGCAGCCATAGTAACCCTCTCAAAACAGGACAGACTGCATCACTCCTTTGTACCTAACAGTTCAAGGGCTTCCCATCTCCAGAAATGAAGTGTGTCTTCTGCAGTTTCCGCCCTTATCTTACTAGACCTGCCATCTGGAGCAAAGGCCTACTACTTACCCTCTTCACTGATGCCCATCAAATAGCTGAAGGGCCTTTCTTGTTCCGCTGAGTCTTTCTCCACCTCCTTCCACACTGAAGTGTTCTCAGGCTTTTCAGCATCGTACTTGTCCTCATTTCCTGCCTCAGTATTTCACGTACTTGTCCTCATTTCCTGCCTCAGTATTTCAATGTTTCCTCTCCAAATATGGTCTCCAGAACCAAGTAACTCATGAACAGAATAGACACCTCATCCTCAATCTTGACACTGACCCAAAAGAAAGAGTCCCTAGAATACTGTAGGAGTTCCTCAGGAGTTCCGTCATAATACTAATTTATATTGAAATCGCTGAACTCTTGGACTACTCTTGTTCTCTCACAGTCTACACCTGAACAGCTCTTTTGGACTACGCAAGACTTCACATTATTACTAGTAAGTGTTACCAAGTTGGCTATGGGTTAGGTGCGTCATAGATCCTCCTGTTGTTCCTATCATGAAGTCCATAGTCATTTGTCAAATACTGAACAATTCAGTTTCAACCAAAATCAGATCAATTAGAAACATTTCTGTAGAAAATAAAGCAGGATGTTCTTGCCACATTATTGAGATAATATCATCCTACAGGAAGCTACACATTTTTTTTCTTTGAACATGGTTTGCATTTAGCATCAAAATCCAGAAGGGCACTTAAAATAAATAACTGGTCCTACTATCTAATTACTGTCAGAAAAAAGACCTATCAACTCTTCTAAAATGAAAGCAAGTGGTTTTTAGTAGATAATTTTTCCTTAACTGATTCATTACTGACAATTACATTCTACGATTTTCTGCATGCTCATTACTTAAATGTACTTTGATAATGAGTTTAATGTGAAAGGCACCCCCAGATATTATACTGCTTCATGCAACATATGATATGGATAATCTGGTTTGAAGGTTTATCATCAGTTTGATTTTTAATAACTCAGTGCTAGGAATAGAACCCAGAGACTTCTGTTCGMTAGGCAAGTGCTCTAGCATACAGAGCTACACTGCAGCCCTCTGGGTTTTTGCTGTGTGTGTGTGTGGGTGGGGGCGGGGGTATTGGGAACTGAACCCAGGGACAACCTATCAATGAGCTACATCCCCAGTCCTTTTTTTTTTTTTTTTAATTTTAAATTTTGAGACAGGAGCTAAGGCTAACCTTAAACTTGCAATCCTCCTGCAACAGCCTCCTGAGTTGTTAGAATTGTAGGTGTGCACCACCATGCTCAGCTTTTATTTTTATTTTGAGATAGGTCTCACTAAGTTGCTGGGAATTTGTTAAGTTGTCTAGACTGGCTCAAACTTGCAATCCTTCTGCCTCAGCCTCCCAAAAAACTAAGATTACAGCATGTGCCACCACACCAGGCTATCTTTGATATATAATTATATTTATATATATTCCATTAAAACTGTGGTCACTGGGGCTGGGGTTGTGGCTCAGTGGTAGAGCACTCTTCTAGCATGAGTGAGGCCCTGGGTTCGATTGGAACCACCACATAAAAATAAATAAATAAAATAAAGGTAAAAAATTTAAAAAGCCATGTTTCTAAAAAAAAATTGTGGTCACTATCTTAAGAAATAAAGTATGGCATTTTGTGTTTGTGTCAGAATATATTCAAAATTATTTTCTAAGTAGCTTCATATACTCCCTTTGGGTCAATGCTAGGAAGAGACAGTGGCCTTCTAGTCAAGTTCCAGTCTCGTTCAGGCTCCTCACTTTTCACAGATGTCCAAAGCACCCCTGAAGCTTTGCTGCTCTCATGACTATTCCAAGCTTCTTTCCCATGGATATTTCTTATTCATCTTTCACACTTACAATACTATAACAAAATGACCTAAGTTCCAGGAAAGCAAAAGATCTTTGTTTTGTTCTCTGATGTATCTTATGTGCCTAGAACAGAGGTCCTGGCACATGGCAGACCCTCAATAAATTTTGTTCAAAAAATAAACAAACTAGCTGGGCACTGTGGCATATGCCTATAATCCCAGCAGCTCAGGAGGCTGAGACAGGAGGATCAAGTTCAAAGCCAGCCTCAGCAACTGCAAGGCACTAAGCAATTCAGTGAGACTCTATCGCTAAATAAAATACAAAATAGGGTGGGGGATGTAGTTCAGTGGTTGAGTGCTCCTGAGTTTAATCCCCAGTACCAAAAACAAAAATAAAAATAAAATCTGATCATGTCAATTAAAAAAAATTAACAAACTCTCTCATCAGCCACACTTAAGGGTTATTACCGATCCTTTAGAAAATAGAAAAAAAAAATGGATTAAGAGAGCCCACTGTACATCCTTTAGGTTCTTAGCTGAACATAAAAATACAGGGTAAATTACCAATTTTAAATTTAAGTAATTAAACAAGCAATTAAAACAAACCCATCCTCCCTTAAGAGTTAGAATTACCCCTTTCCCATCTTTCCTTACCTTACCCACTAACCAGAATATTTCTAAAAAAAAGTGCTGATAAGTCTGATGAACTGAATGCTACCTTTAGGGTTCCAATGCTAGATGTCACTGACTCAGCTGAATCTTCCCTGTCCCCTACACATTGAGGGCAGTGCTCCATGCCTCTGTGGAACCTCAGATTTACCAGTCAGAGTATGGACAGTGTGTTAGAACTACTTCTTCTAATTGATTAAGTCCTCCTCCAGGCTACACAGATGTGTAGGGAGGCATGCATGTGATAGGTCACTATTCTTTCAAGATCTTGATTTCCACAGGTACCCTGCAGGCATACATATTTGATGAATGATGTATCTCTAATGAATGGAAAACAAAGAAGTGTGTGTGCTGTATTCTAAGCAACAGCTGAGGAATAATCTCCAACACATCCCTGCTCCATTTCAAAAACTCAGTTATGGTGACTGTCAGACATCTGCAACTTCTACTCTTCTAAACTTTCCTCTAAATGAAACCAGGTTATCAGTGTCCTGAACCTGAATCAAGCCACACTGTTAACACCAGCTACTAGAATTACTTCTACTGAAAAGGACTTCAGGAAAGTTATAAGAACTAGACTTATGAATTCAATCACTTTTATTTCACAGATGTTGTTCAGCTTATAGTCTCTTCTCTAAGAGAATGCATGACAAGTTATCATTTGTCAGTTCTGTTTTGGTTCAAACAACAAGTTCAACTTCATGGTCTCCCTAATTGGTTTCTTTCATGTTAGCTATTCAGTAATCTTATTTCAGTACTCTTATACCAGTCTCCATCTTATTTAGTTTACTACCCCTTTTCTCATCTTTCTTCACATTTATATGATTTTCTAATTTTGAACATGCATTTTTTGAACATGAATTGAACGCTACCTTTAGGGTTCCAATGCTAGGTTATGGTGACAGACATCTGCAACTTCTACTCTTCTAAACTTTCCTCTAAATGAAACCAGGTTATCATTTAGGGTTCCAATGATTCAAGCTATCGTGAATCATTAAATGACATAAATAAAATTTCATTTTCCTTTGTGAGTTCTAATTGTTCTGTTAGGCTCTCCAACAACAGACATGTATGTGCTCAAGTCTGTACTAACTGGGACCCTGGAGAACTCACTTCACTTCTCTGTGCTTTATTAAATGGGAATAAAAAAATAGCACTCATTTCATAAGGTTGGTTAAAAATTAACAAATGCGAAGTACATAGAACTATGCCCAGCACATACCAACTGCTACATAGATATTAGATTTTATCATCTTTAATACTATGCAATTCACTGACTAAAATGATAACTAGGACAAGGAATGCCACTACTCCTACTTTGATAATGATTTAACAACCAACACTATAGTTTTTGCTATTTCTAGACTTTGTCAAATGCCTTATTAAAGATAACAGACATGTGACTAAAGTACATAAAGTTCCTGTTTTTATAAACAAAACAGCTAAGCATCATAAATGATGTTAATCTAAAGGCAAGAATGTCTTAGACCTAAAGGTGGTTTGATGGAAATTGGATGGTAACAGACAAAGGAAATAATGGCCTCATTTAAAAAAAAAAAAAAACAAAAACTAAATTTTAAACTAATCATAAGTATTTTTTTTTTTTGGAGGGGAGATCTCTTTTAAACACCTTTAAGTAATGTTTATAGTCCAAAACTATTTTAAAATCCCATTTTAAAAAAACTCCATAATAACCAAAGTAACAATTATTTTATAAACACTTAGGGATCTAGCTGGGCGCAGTGGTGCGCGCCTATAATCCCAGCAGTTCAGGAGACTGAGGCAGGAGGATTGTGAGTTCAAAGCCAGCCTCAGCAAAAGCCAGGCACTAAGCAACTCAGTGAGACCCTGTCTCTAAATAGGGCTGGGGATGTGGCTCAGTGGCCTAGTGCCCCTGAGTTCAACACCCCCCGCCCCGTCTTACCTAAATAAATAAATRACATTTAGGCATCTATAGCAAAATGGAAAAGTGCAGGACATGAAAAAGAATTAGGCTTTATCTAGTTCTGTCTTTACCACTTCCCAGATATTTGACTCTGGGCAGACCACTTACCTCTGAAGTTCTATGAACTACCAACCATCACAATTCTATTAATTTTACCCAAGAAGGATGGTCAATGAAAACTAACTATAAATTGTGATAAAAATATCACCATTAAAGAGGTAGGCCTTCTTTTCAATAAGTCATATGTATTCTAACTACCATACTCTAGCTTCACTTTGATTTTTTCTAGCCTTAACATTATTTACCAAAAAAACTCCTCACTTTCACACAACAAATGCATTTTCTGGACTTTTGGCCCTAATAAAATCTAGCTATGATGTTAACTTTGAGGTGGAAAAAGGCAAGCTATCTATGAGGATCTTGGTTACTTCATAGACTGGATTCTAGGTAATAGAAGTCCAAACTGCCAGTGTAGTTAGGTGAATGTGATCCATTTGTGATCTGGTTCCAACTTCACGTTTGTTTGCTCAACCAAGGGTCGTACTGAAAACGCACCCATTAGCCTAACTGTATAATAGTAGCATAGATGCACATCAGAAATGTTGGCTAAAGCTTAAGAGTGGGACAGATGGCTTCCTCTTGGCCTCTTTAATTTAGAGTATTTATGTTTGAACAGAAGTTCAAATAGAACTTGAGTAACTTACTCTATCCCAAATTCTTTACCTACATAATAGTACATACTAGTAGCAGGGCAGGTAAAAATCTGGCAGTTCAAAACTCGGGAAAAACTAAGCAATATTAATACAAACTATCTTTTTTGTAGCGTTTAAGTGCTGCAAAGAAAGRTAACTCCAAAACACCGTGTGCACACCATCTCTTTAAATCCATCCTAACACCGGCAAGTAGGTGTAAACACCACCATTTCACAAACAAGTTGGTCTCTTCTCTAGCAATAACTATATCAAGTCTACTCGATTTACATGAAATTAGTCTCACTTCTCTCCACAAGCCCCAAACTCACTTCTTCAACAACGATCTATGCTAAGCAACATGCCTAAACTTTACATTCAACTGCCCTCTTTCAAAGGTGATCCATTCATTTAACAGTGAAAAGGTGTGTGTTTTAACGCATAATTATAGAAACGACTCAAGAAATAAAAGCTTTGTAAGAGATAGATAGCAGGAGCAGGAAATTCGTCTCTGCCCCCTCTAACTAGCGTCACAATAACATTTAGTTGGAAAACGTTTTGAAACGTTTTTGGATATTCTTGCTGGACATCTCTCTCTTTGCTGTCATCCACCTTGCAAAGTCACAACTCTGGGAACTTGTCGATAGTTTTGAATTATTAATTCAGAACTCACGTCCAAACTTGAGCAAACAACTTACGTCACTCTGTTAAGTTTTCTTCAGTGTCTGGCTACAGTTTGGACTCACTTTGGGGGAAATCTAAAGAACTGGGAGTTTAATGACAATCGCTGGTCTAGCCTACAGACAGTGGACAAGGCGAGAGGCGGCGCRGGGCAGGTGTCCGTGCCTGGGCTGGCTACTCGCCCCGCGACAGGGAAGCCCCTCCATCCAGGCGAGCGCAAGCCAGGGGCGCAGCCGAGCCAGGAGCGCTGGCAGCGCGGGGAGCAGCCCCGGGCCGGGCGGGAAGCGGGACGCGCGGCGGRGGCAACAGGCGCTGGGGACGCACGCGCCGGGAAGGGAGCGGGACGCACCTGAAACCGAGGGGCGGTTCCGGCTGTGGTCGGTGGGCGAGCCGCGGGTGGCCCCCACGGCCCGCGAGAGGCTTCGGGACCCATCCTTGGGCGGGAGCGGCAATTCTCCGTCGCGGGCCTGGAGGGGGGCGGCCGCGCCCTCGTCGCCAGCTCCCTCCTGCTGCCTCACGGCGCCCCCCGGCGCACCCCTCCGCGGCTGGGCCCAGGCGATCCGCGGCAGCAGCGGCTCCCGCTCCTCGTCCTCCTCTTCCTCCGGGTTCCCGCCGCCCGCGGACCCCCGCCGGCCGGGCTCGCAGAGCTCCGCCATGGGCTCCCTCTCCGACTTCCGTGCCGAGACCTTATCACAGCGGCGGAGTGCCGGGGCCCGGCCTCCGCATCGCGGCAAACTACAGTGGCTGGGTCACACCGACGCCACCTCACCAGCACAAGGGCCAGATCGGGGCCCGCCCCGCGGCTGCCCCGCCCCGCCCTGCCCTGCCGCCGGCCACGCCCACCGCCGGCCACGCCCCACCCCTCGGCTCCGCGGGGCGCCGCCCTCGCGCCTGCGTAGAAGGATCAGCGCGGTGGGGCGGAGCCTGGGCGGGGCCGGGCGAGGCCGGGCGGGGCCGGTGGGGCAGCCACCTGTCAGCCAAGGCCAGAAAAGCRCTGGTGGAGGCTGCTGTTCCCCCTACTCAGTGCGGACAGCAGTTATTTCCGCGGAGGTCCTCCTCACTTCAGACTGAATAGGCTTCTCCTCCTACTACAGAATTTTCACTTAAAGTTTACCACAGCTTTTGCGATATATGAATTTATCTGAATGGCTGATATTTGTTTCCTCTATTAAAAGCCCATTAAGAGGGCTGGGGCTATATATTTATCTGTACTGGGACAATCCTGATAGCAGACTTTGYATTTTCCTGTTTTCCGAATTATCTAGCTAGAAGTTTATCAATGTTTAAATTCTTTTCAAAAAGCCATCTTTCAATTCCATTCATTTTCCGTTTTTGAGTTCATCAACTTATACTCTTTTTCAGTAGAGGTTTGATTTTCTAGTTGCTTAGAGAAGATTCTAGTATTGGTTGAAGACCTTTCTGCTTTTTAAATATGCATTTAAAGCTATGAGTTGTCCTCTAAGCATTGCTTTAGTTGCATTCTGCTATTTTTGATGTGTTGTGCTTTCATTTTCATTCTGATGAAATTTTTAATTTCTCCTTATGATTTCTTCTTTGACCCATTTCTTTTGAGTATGTTGTTTAATTTCCAAGTGTTTAAAGGTTTTTCTAATTAGTGTTATTTCAAATTTAATTTGTTGTAGACAAAGATTCTTTGGCATTTCATTCTTGTGAAATGTGTTAAGACTTATTTAGCGTGGTATRGTATATACCCAGGTGAACATTACAKGGTCATTTTTAAAAGAAGATGAATTCTGCATTTGAATAGTTTTGAATTGAACTACTAATTGARTCTATAAATATAAATTTAGTTAAGTCACCTATATCCTAAAAGTTGTTTTTTTTTTGTCTAGTTCTATTTCTTACTAAGAAGATTATTATGATTGCTATTTATTATTATGGATTTGACTATTTTTTCTTTTAGTTTCATGAGTTTTGCTTCCTGTATTTTGAAGATATATTACTAGGTGTGTGCATAAGAGTTTCATGTCTTCCTAATGACTTTTTTGAAAGTTTTAAAAATTAAACTTTAAACAATTTAGTATTATGGACTGTTCTTCCTATCTATTAATGTTCTTGGCTTGAAGTTCATTTTGAGGGATAATATTAACTATTCTAGACTTTTTAGGCTGTTTACCTTAGGTAAATCTTTTTCTACWCTTTTTAATCTATTTGTGTCTTCATACTTAAAGTGTGTTAATATCCTGTAGATAGTTTACCATTGGTTCTTGATTTTTTAATCTCTGTTCTTTAATTGGGATTTTTAGTCCCTTTACATTTATTGTAATAATGATGTGGTTGGATTTAGATGTCTCACTTTTCAATTCCTGTACTGTTTGTTTCTTTCTTTTCTGCTTTCTTTAGGATTAATTCAGTATGTCTAGTTAGTTCATACTAATTTCATTGGCTTTATGCTGTATMATTTTAATTTTTAGTGGTTATGCTAGGACTTACAGTATGCATCTTTAAATTATTTCTATGTTTTGAGAACTTTTATTATACTATTTGACATAAAATGCAAGCATCTTGCAAAAATRTAGTTCCATTTATCCTCCACCCTTTATATTATTGTTGCCATGTACACTAAACCTACATGTTTTAAATCAGTGAATGATTTTTGTCTTAAGCAATCAAATCTTTTAAAGAAATTAAGAAAATAATTTATGGTATTTTATATTCACCCACATTTTTAGTATTTCTTGTGTTCTTTGCTCCTTCCTGTAGATCKGAGTTTCTATCTAGTATCATTCCACTTCCTTATGAAGAATTGTTTTAAAAATTCCTTATAATGCAGAATCTGCTGGTGATAAGTTCTAAGTTCTTTTTTTAAATATGTTTTTTAGTTGTCGATGGACACAATATCTTTATTTATTTTATGTGGTGCTGAGGATCGAACCCAGTGCCTCATACGTGCGAGGCGGGAGCTCTACCACTGAACTACAGCCCCAGCCCTCCAAGTTCTTATTTATTTGAATTTATCATTATTTTACCAACATTTAAAAAATATTTTCTCCAGACTTAAAATAATAGGTCAATTTTACTCCCCTTACTCAACCATGTTCAATTCTAAAAATGTCATTTCATTGTTCTGTGTCCTTCATTGTCTCTGAATCAAGTCCAGCTACCTAACTGTCTMATCTGCATCATGCCCTTTTCTCTAGCTGCCTTGGAGATTTCCTCTGTATCTTTGGTTTCCAGTGGCTTGAACATGATGTCTTTGGGATTATTTTCTTTTATGTGGGTTTTGTTGAGTTTCTTTAATCTGTAGATTTATGTTTTCTATGAAATTTCGAAGGATCTCAGTTATTTCTTTGAATTTTTTTATCTGTCCCATTCTCTCTTTCCTTTCCTTCTGAGATTCCTGTTACATGTATGTTTTACTCTTACATATTGTCCCGAAGATCAGTATGGCTCTACCTACCTATTTATTTTTCAATAGTTTTTATCTCTGTTCTTCATATKTGATAATTTCTCTTAATCAGTTTTAAATTCAGTGAGCCTTTGACTATTTACAAACAGTTATGAAACCCACCAGTGAAGAGATTTAAAATTTCAAGTTCTATCGATTTTAGTTCTAAAGTTTCTGTTAATTTATTATGACCATATATTTTATTATGTGTGTGTGAGAGAGTGTGTGTGTGTGTATTGACTGGAGTCAACATCTACCTGATATTTTTCTTTCAACAATCCAACTGTTGCTTTCTTCTGGGCTCCTTGAAGTCTCCCCCATGCAACGCAGTTCAGATGTTAGGCAAGGATCTGAGCAGAATGTATGTGCAGATTTAGGGGCCCTCTACCCCCCTGACTTATTCCATTTCAGGATTTCTCTCTTCCATTTCCAGCTGCTCTGGGAGCCCCAGATTCCATCCTCTACTCCTTAAGCCATGGAGGTGTGACTTTTTAATTGAGTCCCAGCTGCCTTGCACAGTGCCTACGAGGAAGTGCCCCAAGATAAAACATATGGACATAAACCTCACTYATTGTATGTCCATCCTTTGAAGAGTAGCTGTCTTTTCAGTTTCTGCCCACCAGCTTTTGATTACTTTCCAGTGTCTTCAAATCACTGTATAATTTTTATCTTTAGAGGGTTAGTTTGATATAATCTCCTGTGACATATTTTATTGCAAATGCATCTTTTAGTGAAATGAATATTTTCATTTCTCAATTTATGGGTTGATGGAGGAATATTTCTTGTATCTAGATGAGAGAACATTTAGCATAAATTCTATTTATAGTTTTTAGTTTTTATAGATTTAAATACTGAGAAAATTTGTTCAAATAAATAGATGAATGTGGGAA